TATAAGAGAGATAAATTTTAAAAATTGTCACCCTTTGGAGGGGTATACCAGAAGGGTTGAGCCGATATATATCATTTTTCCAACAGATCTTGTGCTAATTGAAATATTAGGATGTCTGAAATTTGACGGAAATCAGGTACTTATTTCGCATTTGTAAGCGTTTTGGTTATTCAAAATTTTGACCCGTTGTGGGGGAGGTACCAGAAGGAGTGAACCTATTCCCATGATGTTTTTTTCGCATTTTATGAGAGATATAATTATTCAAAATTTTCATTCGTTTGTGACGGAGGTACCAGAAGGAGTGGATCATACACGCAGAGAAGGATTATGGTTGCAGCAACTATATTCGAAGAGCATAATGTTATGGTAGGGATATGCCTGCAGCAAACATTGTACCTGGTTGAAGCAACCATAGTACATACATAACATTTTTGGCATAAAATTTAGAATTTTAACAATATAATGGTCACCGTAAAAATAATTATTGTTCTCTTTCCAAACCACTGTGGTCCCCAACTAACCATGTAATGGTTGTTCCTAACCATTTATTGTTCTTCAACTAATCATACCATGGTCATGGGAAACCATACTGTGGTTCCAATATAAACATAATATTTTTCAAAATAATCATAGTATGGTCTAGTTAATAATATTATGGTAGATAAACAATCATGCTATGGCTACAAAATAACCATGTTATAGTTCATTGTAACCATTCTGTCTAACCATGTTATACTACAGGTAAACGTAATATGGTTACATGCATTAAAGTACCTGTGAATAAAATGTATTATTTATTTAAAATATATTTTATTATATAAAATACATACATTGTACGTCAAATCAATTCAAAAATAACTTATTTTCTTTAGATACAGAAACATACATACATACATACATACTGTCTGTTTGGGGTTTTATTTAGCATAAATTCCATTAAAGCCTTTGCAATTTTAATGCGGTCCTTATTTTCCAACGTTTTAACATTTAAGAATTGGTTAATATCAGGGATTGCGCTAATTTCCTAAAGAAATATATTGTTGAAATATAGAAACTCATTATTTCTACTATATATAATAAGAATATGGACTAAAGTACTTAAAATGAAAACCATATTTAAAGAAAAGACTTACCTGCTTTGATGGAAGACTTTGCAAATTGTCCACACAGGTGAAAACAATTATGTCTTGGGATGAATTTAAACGTGTTTCTTCTCCAATGCAGATATTGCTTGATGAGCAGCTGCGAAATGTTCTGCTGATGGCGAATCTATAGATTCACTTTCAAATGCAGAGTCCGTATTGGATACACAAACGCCAATATCTGAGAAAATTAGAAGTAAAAAAATATAAAATTCTACAATTAAAAATAAATTTGTTTTTTTTTTAACTAATACTTACTTGACAGCTTAATGTCTAGAACAAAATCAGTAGATCCAATAAACTGTTTAACAAAATCCGAAAAATGGCTTGGTTTTATCTTGAAACCTTTAGAGAGTACGTCTACATTAACATCTACTAAACTGTAGCTTTTACGAACTGCAATAAAAACAAACAAACATAATTACATAAATAAACATCAAAATTGCTTGCACACTTTGTGTTTGTTTTATCAAATTTCTTATATTTACCTTCATCTAGGAACAATTGGTAATTGTTATCTCCGTCAAATGTAACACAAATTATTTCCTTTTTGTCACCAAAAATTGTTTTTATAAATTTTAAACCTTTCATTTTTTGATTTTGTCAAACGCACAACTTTCTCGTACAAACAGAACAACTGACGTAAATTCTGTACTTTTTTAGCAAGCAAAAAAATAACGGGACTCTCATCAAGAAATGCGTATGTATGCATGTATGTTTGAAAATGCAGAATTATTTGTTGACAACAAACATAACATAGTTGCCATAAAAATATCGTTATTAATTTCAAAAATGATATTATTGCATTCCAACGCATACACAAAATATGCATGAAAATACAATAACATAGTGTATTGTAGGAAACATGCTATGATTGCATAAAAAATCTTGTTGTCACCGAATAGCTACACGTTTACATTGTCGGGATATTTAATAGAAAATCAGACATTTTGTAAGAAATGAAAACATTTTCTGAATTTCTATAATTTCGATTTTCTTAAACTAATATATGTATATATTACATTAAAGTGTTGGATGACACATATAAAAGTTAAACTAAAAACTATGAAAAACACTTTTATTTCACAAAACCCGTTTATTTATAAACTAGTACGAACGACTTCGGACGTTGCCGAATATGAACTGAAGAAAGCATCGTAGGAGCTTTACAGCAACATACGAAATGACAATGTTATTATTCCATCTAATCATGTCATGTTTAATGTTAGTAAGATTCTGATAATTACATTATGGATAAAAAAAATCGACCATAGTATTTTTGCTTACAACTATGTAAATGGTATGTAACCATAAAATATTTTATTTATGCAAACAATTATTGTATCAGCAACTATTAAATAGTTCCCCTGATAATTGTATGATTGTTCAAAGCAACCATACTGCAGATTTTTTAATGAAAAACATTTTCCTACAAAATATTGATCAGGTTTTTATTGTGGAAATAATAATGTGGTTGAAACCAATAAACACATGTTTGAGGGAACAATTGTATGATTGTAGCAAATATTTAGTGATTGCAGTGAAAATGTTCAACTATATTTTTTCTCTGCGTGTACATGGATCATTTTGTACAAACTTTTCGAATCTTAATATTTGTATCACTGCTATGCCAAGTGAGAAAATGGATAATATCGGCCACCTCCATAAAGTACCTACCCCAAAAGGGTCTACATTTTGAATAACAACTCATATTAAATGAGAAATAAGAATCCGATGGTCTACAAATTTCGGACATCCCAATATTTCTATCAACACACGATATGGTGTATATATCCCACATTTTGAAAAATTATAAGTCCAATAAAATGCCTTATATTCTATTTATATTTTATTCACACGAACAACTATGATATACTACACCGGGAATATTTTTAGTCTCGAAAAAATAAGTTAAAATCACTTCTGATCGTTACATTGGTGATGATACCCGGGATAGCGGATATATGGTAAAATACTAGAAGTTGGTATCTTCGTTTATATCTCAAGAACCGCTGCACTATTTCTTACAATTTTCACCAATTCAGAATGACTTCAGGCAGAAAAGGATGAAATCTAAAAATCTCTTAAAAATATTCTATTAAAAATGTAAATATTTTTTGTTACATTTTGTAATATTTTTTTTTATCACATTTCATGAAATGTTTTAAATTTGACTTTCAATATTGAATTGCACATTTTGCAATATATTTTTTATCGGATTATATCTAGCGGGTAAAATGGGCTACAACTTTCGAGTGAAATTGTTTTAAATACCTTTTGTAAAGGATAAATGCCACCAGCCAAAAACCAAAGGTTTGCAGGACTGTATGGCAAATAAAGAATTAATTAAATAATGTTGATTTGTTAGCACCAAGATTATAGAAAATAGTTCCAGCAAACCTTTGGTTTTGAAAAATTTTTATAAATGTCGATTTTATAATATTTGAGGCATCAATTGTTTTGGAAGGTTTCCAATTGATAGTCCTTAAAATTAATTGAAATTTCATTTATCTCCTTTGCATTGCCTTCAGAGACTGAAAATCGCCTGAGAAAATTATATAAGAGTAATTTAGGTATAAAACAAGTTACCAAAAATCTGTCGGTTAAATGGATGAAAATCAGATATTGTTAAAGCATGACATACAGAATATCCTCCTAGCAAAAAAAAAAAAAAAAAAAAAAAAAAACTCAAATTACTATTTCCAACTAAAAGTTGCAATTTTTATGGACACATATTAATTCATGTCAAATTATATATTTTTAAAAATTACGTTGATTAAGTGGAAATCTATAACGAAATCAATGCAATCTACTCCAAAAAATACACATTAAAAATACACCCAATTCGAAGAATCTAAATGAAATGAGGAGTTTAGAAGAATTCAATTGTTTTATTTCATCTTAAGGTAAAATCTGAGCCTTGCCTTACCTTAAGATTAAATAAAACAAAAAAACAAATATCATCTTTAGACATTTTTAATATAGTCCTAAGGCTTGGAAAAATTACCTTAAGACCTTAGGTTTTAGTGCAAAACAAATCGAGTTAAGCCCATAGTTCCTTCTCACAATTGGGTCATTTATTATTTAAGGTCATATATTATATTTGATGTCAAGTATCGTATACAGTCCAGAAGTCACTCTGTTAAATATAGTTGAACTCTGTTTAGATTTGGATATAGTTGTCATATCTATTTTTGTCCGAATTCAGGTATATTGTGCACCACGTGCTTAATATCAATGCGTGTTTTTTTTTTGTCGAAATTTTGGATTAAATTTACATATTGCTCTCACATAGAAGCACATTTGGTGCACAATAATTTTAACATGAAAATTCATTTTATATCATGCGATAAAGCTTTGGTAATTTTAAATTGAAACCGAAGTAAAGCTGTTATACGCGTTCCATATCGATTCCGCGTTCCATATCGATAGTATTGTGTATGATTTACTTGACACAAATCCTCAACAAAAACGAACATTTGTGATTGGAAGAAGCCAGCCGATGATTTAAGCCACGCAAAAAAGCGTTTTATGTATTCTCGCCTTAAGCTATTTCTGGCTTCACTTTTAAAAGTTATCGCCTAAAAGTATGCTACATATTTGCTTTTACTTTTAGGTTACTACCAGTAGATATTAATGAGTTTGGCCCACGTTTAAGGTGTATTAAGGTGTAAAATTAATATACATTAAGCTTGGAGACCTAACACTTCATAAATTTGGTAATTACCCATACGGTGGTATTTTTACATCACTATTGTTGTAATATACCCACCGAACATTGATGGCTTTAAAAAAATTACAAACAATCAAAACACGATCAGTTAATATTAAAAAAAAATCATAAATAAATTTTATTAAAAAAAAATAAATAAAATATTACAGATGCATATTCCATGAAAAGTTTCAGAAGGCAAGTTAAAATGAATACTCTAAACTGAAGCGCCATAAAAGTGTTTTCAATAAGTCCATGGGTAAGTAATAGTTCATCATTATATCGGAAATTTCAATATAAATTCACAAGGGTTAATTGTTTTTGCATAACAATGATTAGTAGGATAGAACCAAAATTTTTAAACATTTGTAACCAGTGGCAAACAATCAAGTTTAATAAAATATTTTTTTTAATATTTATGCCATTAACAATATCTAATATTTTTAAGTTATACGGCACCGAATTTGCTAAAAGTTTAATTCATTTTTTTTGAAAATAAAATAAATATATAAATATATTACGAGTTACAGAGGACAAAGAGCGATTTCCGATTCCCAGACAGGAAATATTCGAGAAATATATTTTGCCACTAGGTGAAAATTGTTAAAATTCATGATTTTTTCTTTATCACATCGCATGTATTTGAAAAAAAAATATTGAAAAAATAGCTTAAAGGTAGCAACGATATTTCACTGGTTCCTTGTTAAAGACTAAATCTATATTAATTTCAATATAAAAATAAGAATATTAGTAAATATTAGGTTGTATGCTATGATGGATATTCTAATAATACATAAGTATGTTTGTTTGTGTGTTAAGAGAATTCTTTAAAAAATTGCAATGTATGTCTCAAATGGGGGTAAATGTTGTGTAATAATAAGTATATATATCTAATATTCATTTACAAGTACATAAGTTTAATATTGATAATATGTTTAAAAAATAGCTTTGTTTTTGTTTTGTCATAGACATAGATCATCAAAGGGTGTCAGAGATAATTAAAATCGATTAATGTGCAACATCATCGTCTTCCTTGTCTATTATCAGCGTTCATTGTACGAATTGGCAGTCATGTTGTCGTATTTAGCGGGAAAACCATGAACCATACAACAGCACCATGGTGAGTTGATGTTGAGCTGATTGACAGACTGACTGACTTAGAAGACAACCAGTAAAGGAGAATTAAAACAAACGGGCACGACGATATCAATTTAATTACGTCTTATCTTTGAGCAGAGCTACCAAATGATTCTTTTTAGCTTTTTCCGATTTACTGTATTCATCCAGGAACTGTAATTGAAGAAAAGAGGAGGGACATATGATATTAATAAATAAATACTTCATGTACGTTTGAAACAGTAAACAAGTAAAAAAGCTCTAATTTCGGCCGGGCCGAACTTTAAATATCCTCCACCATTAGGAAAGAATTTGACAATTTTCAAACAAATAAAATCCTGTTAAAAATAAAATCTGTTAAAATCGTAAAAATACCGAATGTAGCCGTTATATTAGGGTCTATACGACGACGTGGACCTAAAAAGGCAACATTTGTCATAAACAATTACAATATTCAAATGCGAAACTTCGGGAGGGGGGGCTATCCGAAGACGTAGACCTGCACAGACAATTTTCTTGCACAGGCTTTAATATCCATTGCCAACTTCAAATACCAAATTTGAAACAATTCCGGTGAATAAAACATCAATATACCGATATACCATACCAAAACGAGGACCTATATGGCCCATTTTCTATACCAAAAGTCCTGCAACTTCAATTCGTTGGGAAGCTAGAGCGATTTTCACAGACGGAGATACATCGCTAAATCGACATAGAATTTTATGCAGATCCAGAACCTTAATATACCCTTATATGTACTATGGTGGAGGGTATAACGAATAACAAAATATTTTGAATTTTAGTGAAAAATACAATGAATGAACTGGGAATTTAATGATTTTTACAAAGAGCTTCAAAGGGAGTAATTTATAAGTTGCCTTTACGAAATCCGACTAACTCGGGACTTACGAAATTTGTTTATACCCTCCATGATAAATATTCGTCGTAGACCTCATAAAATATATATCCTCAAAGTATATACTGATGAAAAGAACTGCAAAAAACTTCAGACTGCTGTGATTTCTAAGCCACTCGTCCGACAGCTGCTGAAATTATTCCAGTGACAGTTCATTATATTGTTTACAAACGTGCAAAAGTATTTTGGTGAGAATTTTCCAGAAAAAAAGTTATTCGTGATGGAATTGAAGCGTGATTGTGTGATTTGTTTATATTTGGCTGGAAAACCAAAAGTGGCTATCGTTAGAGCACTCCAGCATTTAAATGTGAATAAATATTTTATAGCGTAGCCCGACGTCAAGGAAGTGGACGGAAGAAAACAGCAACATCAGCAAAAATGGTTCGAAAAGTACAGAAGCGACTATTCCATTCGGCAAATTTTGAAAAATGAGCTCGGGGTAAAGCCATTGAGATTCCAAAAAGTGCAAGAGCTTACACTGCAACAGAAAGAAAATAGACTCAAAAGAGCTAAAGATTTGCTTCGCTTGGCCGAAAGTGGTAAATTGCCGAATTTGGGCCGATGAGAAAACATTCATTGTCCAGCAGTTTGTAAACAAACCAAATTATCGTGTTTACTTGCCAAAGAGGTCAGCTGAAAATGTGCACCTTCGGTTGGCGCCAGAACTCAAGCGCCGGCCATGGTGATGGTGTGGGCCGCCATAACGACGATCGCTGTTCAGAATAAATGCCCAATATTATAGCGAAAATATTCTGGAAGGTGTATTAAGCCTTGGGCAAGCAAACATTTTGGCCGTGAACCTTGGACATTCCAACAGGACTCAACACCTGCCTTCCAAGAATGGTTACGAAATGAGGTTCCTCGTTTCATTCTCAGCGCACAATGGCCACCAAAATCTCCGGATACCAATCCGTTGGCCTATTTTGTCTGGAGTATTTTGGAAGGCAAGGTTGGCACTAAAAATACCAAAGTGTCGATCACCTCAAGCGGAATGGGCCAAAATACCGCAGAGCAACATTCGGGCAGCGTGTGACGGTTTCATTTGCCGTTTTAAGGCCATAATTCGTGCCAAAGGTGACCAATTCGAACAAATGTAAACTATTTATAAAATTTGATGTTATTTCCAACATTTTTTGCTTTCATTCAATAAAATTAAAAAAACGTAAAAATTATGGCGTTTGACTTTGTTGCAGTTTTTTTTATCTCAACCTGTATATAGGTCCACATTTTGGTATAGTTCCCATATAACCGTACCTCACAATATTTGGTTTTTAATGATTTTTGGCATATTTTTCCACGGATTTGTTCAAAAATTGATATTTGTAGTTCATAATAGGTTCTAGCTCCGGTGGCAGAACATTGAATAATTAGGTCCACGTTTTCCTATAGCGCCCATATAACATAATACAAGTCACATTCACCCACGAAATCGTTTCAAATTTGGTATTTAAGAAGATTTTACAATCCTTGAATTATAAAATTGTCTATAGAGGTTCCCGTTTTGGTATGGCACCCATACAAAAGCCTCACCCACTTTATGGTTTTTTGAAAAGTTTAACAGCATTATCCAAATGGTCTTACTTATATTTGTAGTTTAAAGTGAAATACGTTTGAATTCAGATTGTCTTACAGGTATTTGTAGTTCATAGTGGAACACGTTTGAATTCAGATACTTCTATGTAAAAATGTGTTCTTTACCCAACGGTGGAGAGTATTAAGAGTTCGGTCCGGCCGACCTCAATGCTTTCTAACTTGTTTTTTTAATATTATACATGTCTATAGTGATTCCTAATTTTAAAATATCCAAAAATTTCATACTCACATCTAGATTAAAATCACGTGATATCACATTACGGGCTTCCTGATTTTGGAACGTTATAGTTACGAGACATGGATACACCACCACATTCAAATGTTCAGGTAGTTTGGTTAAATTCTTAATGATAATGGAACACTGTTCAGAGGTTAAAAGATCCTGAAATGGAAATAAAAACAAGAAAAAACAATTATGGCAAGGCTTCTATTAGATATATTCAAAGGTCCTTTTACCTGATTCTGTTTATTGTTGGCACAGAAAAAGCCAATCGTCGCAATCAAATCAATTATAACTGCCTGAGTTTCACTATTTTTAGCTGCCGTGCATTTGTTGCCACAATATTTGAGTAAAATCGTCACCACATCGAGGAACTTCAAAGATATCGCTTCACTGGACATCACCTCCTGAGGGAATAGAATGCAAAAACAAAGATTACGATTATAATTTGTAATTTTCCATACAAAAAGTGTCGATATGTGTAAATGCTACTTCGAGTATTTCAAGTCAATGACATAAACTTTTTGCAATATTTTCGTGTGTGTCATTGACAGTTCAAGTGGTCTCCAGGAGTTTTTTTGAGTTTGTAGAAAATTGCCATGCTCAAAAAAAGGAAAATTATTTTCCGTTTTCATATGTTAGTAAAACTTTTTTAAACAATTTGAAACATAAAAAAAACTTCCACAGAATGTGCCAAGAGAGTGCTTGAGTAAAGTTTTCGCAAAACAAAAATTAAAAAGAAATATTTCTTTTAAAAGTCCTTAAAAATTGCCCAGAAGATTACTTTTGTGAATTGTGAAAGTTTTTTGTCTTTCCTTCAAAAAGTAAAACAAAAACACACAAAACAATAAAGTTGGAGAGATGGGAGGGTGTAGAAATGTGTTCCAAAATTGATGTGAGGAAATTACATAAAATTTACTAAAAGTAATAATAATAAAAAAATCGTGCCCTTTAAATAAGAGTTTTAAAACATCCCACATTTTTCCCTTTTCGGGTCGAACATTAGAAAAAGTGAACGTTTTACACCAAAAAATCTTCAAAATTGTTCATTTCGATGTTTACCGAGGAGCATATTAGTAAAAACATTTTCACAACGGACTCACATTCATTTTTTCGCCAAAACTATATCCGTCTCCAAATGTAAACCCATCCTAAACACCAACAGTAATCCGAGATCAGTACCATATATGGTAAATTTCGAACAATTATAGTTTGCATTTCCAAAATCACCACCAGTTCCCAACACCAGACCTAAATATTAAATTTCGAGATTTCAGATCTATCCGTTCCCCCAATACTCTATTTAGTACCACTTAGTATTTTTTTTTGAACAATTATAGTACATTTTTCCAAAACCATCTCCATATCTTAACCACAGACACCAACAGTACTGACAACTATATCAAATTTCAGGAACTCATCTCTATCCCTTCATCGAATACAAAATTTAGTATTATTAAATACTTTTGGTACAATTATAGTACACATTTCCAAAACCATCTCAATATCACCATACCACCAGATACCTCAATATTCAGGATTCCAGCCCTATTCTTTCCCCAAATACCAAAGTTAATACTATTTAGTACTTTTCGTTTTTTATATTAATACATATTTCAAAATCCCCCGCCATGTATCGACCAAACCGCACAAAAGGTTATCCTACTGACAAATTTTGGACTTCCAACTCAATTCCTTATCCATTTGGTAAATGGTACCAATGGTACTTTTCAGTACGTAACTTCAAAATTACCTTTAAATTTCAATCCTGCATACTAACTGTGATCCTAATGCCAAGTTCCAGATTTTAAGCAGTATCCGTTCACGCAATACCAAATTTTAATACCTTTCGAACGCATTTCCAAACCCTCTTTGTCTTTACTCTACCTGCGAGCAGAGAGTCCAATACCAACATTTTAAATTTCCAACAAAAGCATAATTTTACCGAGTTTAGTACCATTTGTTACTCTTAGTACACATTTCCAAAAACACCAACTTATATCAACACTACTTCCCAAACTTAATTTTATACCAAATGTCAATATTTTAGTTGTATCCATTCATAAAATACCAAAAGCTAGGAAATGTGGAGCTTCTTAGCACTTTTAGTAGACTGATAGTGTGAATTTCTAAAAAGCGAATCTTATTTCACAAAAATTCTTGCAAAATTTCAATTCTCAATTCTAGCTTCAGCCGTTTCGCTTAGGCGTGGACGACTGTCAGTCACTTTGCATATACAGTAAATTCTTCATTTGTTCCTCCTAAAATTCAAATAAAAAGCTTTCCGCTTTTGAAACTAGTTCACGGAGCACTGCCCAGATATTACCCTTAGCATTTTGACCAGGGACATTTGCCCAATATGTACGTACTCAGTCGTGCTATTATTTATTGTGGTCCATTTTACAGCTAAATATAATCCAATTGTCATCCAAAATGCTAGAATTCTTCGCTGTCCTTAACTCTCTTCTCAGGCGTGTAACGAACACCATATTTGTGTGGAAACACTTCCTAAGAAATGCCAGTTTTGGTCGAAATAAACAAAATATTAGTGGTAGGACTATGGGAGTTATAAGTGCTAGCAATAGCAGTCGGCAGCGGGGTCCGCGTCCTTCATTAATATTTGTCTGTGTAAATGTTACGATAATATTTTATAACTCCCGATTTTTTTATAAACAAAAGATATATGGACTGATGTTACAAAGCATACTGATTACTACATGCCCCATAAACGTTTGTAACGAACTAGGCTGAAATTGACAACAAAAGGTATCGATTTAACAGTTATTTTATTTAGCTACTCCTAGATGTTAAATGGAGTGCTAAGCCTCTCTACCCACCCTACCTTCGGCTCTATATGGGCTTATATATATTTTGATAGAACCCCAATTTATACTCGGAACTAACTATCTACTTCGGCATCATCTCAATAGGAAAACTCATTCGTTTTGTTTAAAAATCCATATTATAAATATTCAACAAATTTATTCAATAAACTTCCATTTTAAAAATTACTTAATAAATACCAACAATTTAAATTATACTAGTTGATAGTCTTTTTTATAATGAATGAAAAATTAGGTAAATAGAAATTCAATAAATATATAATGATTATCGAGTATAAATTTATAATTTAAATACATGCGCATTGATGAATCAAAAATATTGTTCAACCCACTGTAGGGTACATACATAAGAAGAGAAGAGAATGTATGGAAATATAAAGAAATTTAATCATATGTAGCAATGGAATGTGTAACAAGGGAGAATATGATTTCGTATTTTCTTTTGTTACTTTAAGCAAAAAAAAGGCCAAAATAAATCACAATAATTATGCACTTACCCCAACATCTTCGCGATAAATTGATGAGGCCTCCCAATTGACGCTGACTGATGTATGGAATAGATTCAGGAACGTAGTATTATGCTGTTTATAAAGAATAATTAGATGAACTTATCCTTATACATAGGACTTAGTAACTGTGATCAGTATTTTTATAGCTTAATTTTTCAGTAATTTTTCACACATTCTCTTGATTTTTGTTTAAAATGATTATGACTAATATTTTTAGATATTTTTTTATATTTAGAATTAGAATATCAAATCTATAACACTTGCACATACACGAAATTGATTTTTTCTCTTCATTTTAATTATTTTAGCAAATATTAAAAAAAATGGTATTCATCACATGTTTTTATTACCGATCTTACAAGCGCGTCTATTGAAACTAGTTTTACGCGTCAGTTATTTAAAATATTTCGATAAAGAGAAGCAGAAAGAAGAGAAAAATAAACTCAATGCATGCTGTACGTGAAAGTGTTGTTGTTGTTAAATTTACAAGGTGAAAGAAAGAATGCAAATAAGGGGAATGATTTTGTTGTTGTTTAACTATTATATTACTCATTATTCTGTTCTCCAAAAAATCACATGGTATAACACCCAAGATCTCTTTTTTTTTACTCAAATGCACAGTGTTCCAATATTTAGAATAATTTATTATAATTTCCAACTGATAGGAAATTGTAAATTCGATATTAATTCGAAGAATGTTGTGAAAAATACCAGAGTTATCTGTCTAGAAAATGAGATTTTCCTACGCAATATACGTTATTGCGCATGAACGATACATGCATGTGACGATCTTACAACGTGGTCTCCAAGGTTTTGTTGAGAATTTACCACTTATCTCAGATAATGGGTTCACTGGCTGAATTATTTCTGAGGCTGCCAAAGTTTGGTCTACTTAAAGACGGAATCTTTACGCCAAATCTCTGTTCTTTCCTCCTTGTAGTAGATCTTTTAGAGCACACAAATATCACTTTCCAAAACGCTTTTTAATAAATATGTTGCTTATGGAATGTGTAGCCGCCCATCGGGCAGATATTTTAATTAAATCTTTGGCAATGATATAAATTCTCTGGCATCATCTGAAAAGAACCACCATCGATCTGGTTCCAGGAATTGCAATTATTTTTGGGCAGCCAGGTTATGGAAACGTTGTAGCTATAAGGTTTGAAGCGTAACTTATTTTAGAAGGTAGCGTGTGAGATAACCTAAATATTTTCCATAATTTATCAACTGTTTATTATTATTTATCAGAAGTATTACCTTGTGATTTTTCGTTCGAAATTTGTTCACCAAATAATGGGACTTGAAAATATCCTCAACTTGTTAGGTTAAATTTATTTTTACCAATTTTATATTTTAGATGATGTGCACAGTTCAACAATTTGTTAAAAAAGAACGAGTTTGAAACCAGCGTGTTCTAAGGTAACTTTTGTAATATCAATTTAGTATTTAGGAGCAAAGCGTAATGAAAAATTTCGAACATCGAAAGTAGTGTTGCCATATTGGTTAATAGAAAGCCTAATGGATTTGATAACATAATATGATAATTGATGATCAATATGACCGTTAACAAAAAGATGTTTTTGATTTCCAAATTAAATACAAATGTTAGGTTTTTACGTGAAAGTTCACCACAAAACCACATAATTCTGTCTTTTTAAGAAACAGAATTAGGAGGAAAAAGAACTTTCAAGGTCTTATGTCCTTTCCATGAAATGTCCCAACAATCTTACCATCCATATCTTCCAAAATATAATAATGACTTCCCAATTTTTCACGAACTTTTGCTTTTAGGAAAACAGGAGCTAATTTCGAGTTAAACTTCTTTTCAAGGTTACTTTGGGCAAAATTTCTTCTGAACACTTCCTGTCCGACATTAAACGAAATCAATCTGGTGCGCAGATTGTAATGATCTCTGTTTTTCTCATATGCCTCCTTTATGTGTTTCATGATATCTGTCCTTAAGATCTGAAGATGGTCTGGTCTAGAAAGCTTGGCAATAGGTTCTTCTAGGATTTCTAAATTTTTCAACAATTTATACGATGAGCCGTGGGTGAT